CTGAATTTGATAAATTCAAGTTGTAGATGAGTTGGGAACATTTCCTGAAAATTCCAGCCTCCCAGCTTCCCTGGTTCTAGAGTTATTCATTTTCCCGCCAAAAGCTTCCACGGGGCCGTACGTGGCAATCACAATTGACGGGGGGCTGAATTTAATAAATTAAAGTTGTAGATGAGTTGGGAACATTCCCTGAAACTTTCAGCCCCCTCAGCTTTCTTGGTTCCCGAGCTAGCGATTTTCGCGCCAGGAACCCTCAGGGGGCCGTACGCGGGAACCACGAACCCCCGTGGGCTGAATTTGAATTCTTTGAGTCCTACTTCGACTGGAAACATAATCCCAAAATTTCAGTTTTCTAGCTTTTTTGGTTTTCGAGTTAACGATTTTCCCTCCAAAACTTTGAGGCGCTCGTACGTGGGGCCTAGACGTGATTGAGGGTTGGTACCGCGGTCCTGGGTGGCAGTTGGCAGGGGAACCCACTCGCAAAATTTTGGCGCCGGAGCTTGCTTGGGTGCCGACTTGAAATACCCGGACAGACGCGCATACACAGACACACATACACACACAAACTGGGGTCGTCGCAATATGCGTTTTCGCATTTGCATATTATGCAAAATCGCATAAAAAGGACAAAAGCAGGATGGAGTTGGAAGAGACAAAAATTCAAAAGACAATTTTTATACTTGTATTCCCGGTTCCTGAAGTCGTGTTTCGAAGCTTTACATTGGAAGTTCGAATAACCTTTACTTTAGAAAGATCAGCATCGACAACTGATTTGGCAACAGTCGATGATGAGATACGAATTGGGGAAATTGAAACGGGATTAAAGCAACTTGAGCAGCGCATATCCGGTATTGAAATGCGCATTCAGGAGGATCTTGAAGCGGAACAAATTGGCATCCCGGTTAGTATTATTGCTGAAATAGTAGTGCAGTCGTTAACAGCAAAGTAACAAAGTCCCTTTTCTAAGAATATTTGGAATGGCTAGATGAGTTTAATTTATAGCTTGTGCTGTGGATATCGGCGAGAAGTCGGCCAGAATTGAAAACAAGTGTTGCTTGTAGAACAACGTTAAACATTATTGGAAATCATGTGAGACGCACAAATACAAAAATAATGTTCGAGTTACCACAGAGAGCATGAGATTCAGTGCTGCAGTGGTATAGCACGTCAAGTAGGAATGTGATGACGAGGGGTTTGTTACTCTCCCGCTCCATATGCATTTGCAAACCAGTTTGCGAAGGCCTGACTCATCTGTGCATTTAGCATCTTCTACTGTCTCTTATCAGTGGGAATCAACTGTTAACAGCCCTGAAATTCGTTTCTTCTGCTGGGACTGTTTTTATCAAGTTCCTCCCGAAAGAATTGCATGAAATAAGATCTTTTCTCACTGCTGGCCTGGTAAATCAACAAGATTCTATTCGAACTAAAAAACACACTCAATGATAAAAGGCTCCTCATAGTCTTCACACACTAGTCGATATAAACAAAAAATATTTGATAGAAACACTATGGTTCCTGACTGCGCTGTGGCAACTGCTTCATCCTTCCCTGGCAACCCTCGTGCAATGTCGGTGCACTACTTGCAATTTTGATGCAATGTCAGCCTCTCACTGGTCCTTTCTGCCTTGCACACATTCATCACGCGACCGGTGCTTGCTCGCTCAATCATGTCACCCGAATTGAACACAGTATCACAATATCTGAAGATAACACAATAATTTTTTTTTTTT